GAAAAAAACAGCAGACACATGTATAACTAAGGAAAAGAAAGGAGATGCCAGAAGATATCCAAGGCTAATACCGCAGGCAAAAAAAGTAGTCAGGGCTGGATGGACCGCAAATGGACGATAGGGGACTTGTTATATATCCTGAGTCTCTCAATTGTCTGACTGTACTTACCTCACTGCTCTTACATAAAGTTAAGCACTTCAAAAGTCATGGTTCAGATACAAAAGTTTAAAAACCTGTTTGCCATTTAACTGAAATCTTTATACTAAAAAAATCACATCTTGGACTGGGTTTTGTCTTTACAAGCAGCCAGAGAGATTGGGGATACCCGGATGAAGGAGGGGGGAAAGAAAAAAAAAAAAGAAGAAGAGGAAAGAAAAAGGGAGCCGTATGGGAGGAGAGAAACATCTAATGAAAAACAAAACAGCAATACTTTAATTCTCCTCATTTCTCATCCAACTACCTCCGCTTTCATTTCTATACATTTTTATAACTAGCAGCATGGCACAATCCCTGAATACGAAACGTGATCATCGAGCAACTCCACGCATGCGTAAGTACTGCCGGCTCCCTTAACTCTAAATCACACTCCAACATATTACAACACACATGCACAGACACACATGAACAGAGTCTCACACATGCCTCCTTTCGAGTGCTGGCCTCCCATTCAGGGGCCCCCCTAAAACTGGATGCACTCAGTGATCCCTTTCCAAAGCCCTCATCTAAATGTGAGCAGAGGTAATCCTTGAAGGAGAGGCAAGGAGAACAGCGATAACCCACGATAAGGGGCAGAAGGGGGGGAAAGAAAGACGCCGAAAGAAGGTGAGAGGTGGAGCGAGAGATGGGATAGAGGAGCAGGATTTTTTTTTTTTTTTTTGGGGGGGGGGGGGGGGGATTAGCAACCTAGGGAACACATTTTTCAAAAGAAAAAGGAAAAGAGTTGGGGGAAAAATGAAGTGAGGTGAGGGGGAAGAGGAAGAAATGAAAGACAGAATATGAGAAAAAGGACATGTACACAGTATACTCACAGATGAATGATCAGAACTGATGAAAAATCATGTCTGAAAACAAAATCAAAGGCGGCCACATAGTGCGAGTCTGAGTTTGGAGAGAAGTCCAGTTTCTTCTCGTTCTGGAGTTTTTTCCCCCCCTTTTTCCCGCGATTTTTGTCAATTCCTATGCAGCTGTCCCTCCTTCCCAAGTCTATCCCCTTACTGGTCCTCTCTTCCCCCTCCCGTTTTTCTTGCCAGTACCGGTACTCTCCTACGTCTCTTTTGCTCTCTTTCTTGCCTTCTCTCTCTCTAAGGCCATGCTCTCCATTTTCCCCTCATTCTTTTGCCTCAGTCTCCTTCATGTGTCCATTCAGACATAATCTTCAACCCCTCAGCTTCAACTTCAAAATGCAGATAAGATTTTCTACAGAGAACGCAACTATGGAGTTGAAAGGAGAAAAAATATATATACTGCAGAAGGGAAGAAGAAAAAAAACTGTTTACAGGAAAGGACATGGCATGCAGTCTAATGCAGGGACAATCCACGGCCTGCGTTTTTCAGGGCTGCCACGCATAGTGAGGCGGTGGCGCCGCTGCTGTATATGAGGGTATAAAAAGCAGAATGGCGAGCAAAAGAAAAAGAAGGCAAAAACTGAGCTTACTGCGGTCGGTCTCCAGTGAAAGTGAACAGCATGAGGGAAATGAGTGGGAAGGAGTCCGGGGCGTGTGCATGTGTGTGTGAAGAGGTGGGAGGGGAGAAAAAGCCAACCAGAGAGAGGAGAGAAAGCGAGAGACTGGAGGTTAATGGAGGGAGGGATAGGAGGAGGAGTGTGGCGGTGGGGAAAGAGGAGGGGGCAAGAATTGGAATACATTTTTGTCTTATGCTTGCTATATTCAAATTTTGTGGTTCTCATTTTTTCATGGGGCTAATACCTTCTCTTTTCTCTGAAGAGAAAAGGAAGAAAGAAAGCTACTGTGTCTTTTGTCTCCAGCTCCTGCCGTTCCCTTTCCTGGTTTCCTTTCTGCTTCGACTCTCCTCTATTCAGCCCATTTTCTGCACGTGCACTTGAACTCCAAATCCTGTCTGCCTTCCCCTCCCCTCGCTCTCTAACTGCGCATCTGTGCGCGTCTGCCTCTCTCCCTCCCTCTGTCCTCAGCACAGGCTTGAAATAGTGCTCGCAGGCAGGAGAGCAGCGAGGGGAGGGAAAAGGAGAGGGGGACAAAAAGGGGAGAGAGATGTTGAGAGGGGGGGAAGGGAAAGCGCTTAGACAGGCTGACACAGAGAGCAGAGCTGCTGTGTATGTGTGTATGAACATGTCTGCACATTTGTAAACACATTTAGCTAGCTTTGATTTAGATACAGTGCTTCCACATGCTGGTGCAAGACGTTAGCTCAAATGACACATAAGATGCGACTTTACGGACAAGGAAAGCCACAACGTTCTGCATTTTCAGCACTTTGCCACATAAAACTTAAACGAGCATCGTCCAAATATGCATTGGTTCTGAACAGCTGAAAGAGGATTCAATACGTGTTTTCCGCAGTATTGATACACCGATACCAGCTGTGCTTCCTCACTCTCCTCTTCGACAGTTCACACATACACTGCAGTGGCCGCTTAGCCCCGCCTCCTCTCTCTAAAAGTATACAAATTCTTATAGTTTGGTTACCCAACTTTTATCCCTTTCAATGTCAGGCTAATTATTTAATTTGTCTCAGTGGAGATTAATGCAGAAAGAAGTGGACCTTAAAATAAACTGTTACAGAGCTGTTTTTTGTAAAGCCTGTAAAAACTGCACGTAGCCTGCAATAGATCATCCAGCCACCCGCTTCCACTTGCGTAGCCATAGAGGTGGTTAGCGTCTTTCCCTGCTGTCCTAAAGTGACAGTGGGCTAGTTTCAGTCATTGTGCAAGTGTACTGTTTATAAGGTTGGGGGAAACCTGCAGTCAGCTGAGACTAAAAAAGTCACTTGGATGAGCGACAAAACGTTTCTTCCTCACTGAAAACGCTACGTCCAGAAGAACACAAACAACCTTTTAGTGTCGTAAAGTGAGTGACAACCTGAAAAGGACAGGGTACACTGTATCACTGGGTTCGTTTATTTGAGACATTGTACTATTAATTAATTATTCTGAATTCATTTTTAATGCATCGTAGTTTCATGTATTTTAGGTTGTGAATTTGCAAGTGTTTAGTTTGTTACGCCTTTCTCTAAAATATGAATGTATGTCAGGGACAAGGTTTAGGTTTAGAAACTGTACAACAAGAACCTAAAACTTCAGTTGCACCAAACCTTTAAGAACCCTGTTAGGTTGACAAAACCTAAAAATGAGGACATTTACATTGTTATTGTATTTTAGTTTAGATCCTGTCATATAGTTTGTCTTAATTGAAATACATATAAAATCAATTTACCTGTGATCTATGGTAGGCTAACACACTGCACAGTAACAGAAACCCAGCCACATCCAAGTGAGAGCTGCATGTCAGCCTGGGGAGTACGAAGATACTTTGATATCCACAACGGAACAGTACTGTGCAAAAATACGCAAGGAAATTGTTCCAGCTACAGGTGAAAACCACTTGAGGCAAATATCATTGAATACAACAAGGCTATGAAAGTAAGAGAGTAGGAGATACCGGGATGACGTGCAACCCAAAAGTAAACAAATGACTCCACTTAGTATGGAGCTAGGAGCACTCACTAGTTAAACAGGATCAGCAAAAGGTGGATGGAAATTACACTTATGTTATACTTGCACTTAAGACTCCCGTTGAACAAACTACCTAGGTTTCTTTTGTTCTGACATTTGACTTATTCTGCATCACTACTACTGCACTGTAATGCTGCTGGCACTTTAAATTATAAAGTTCATTGGAAAAGGATTGAAAGTGCCCTTCATTGCATAAAAACTAAAATAATGCTGCCTGTAAGCAGCAATTACATAAAATGTTATTTTTTTCCCCCATGTCGTCAAATATTACACATTTCTTTGAAATATTGCAAATTATGAGGCAATAGAAGTAATGTTTCGCTTAATTTATACAGTGATAATAACCTTGATATTTCATTAACACAACTATAAAGCATCTTTAAAAATGCATTTACATTGTTCTGTAACACCATTGTATGCATAGAAAAGTACGTGGTCTCGTCATTTTGTTGGGATTACATAATGCATTTTTTGAAGCAACTGCACGTCTGCTTAAAAATCTTTTTTCTACTTGAGACTACCTAGTAAGATTTCACTTTGCCTTTTAAATGGGACAATTTTAGACGGCAAAATGTTAAGCGCCACGCTAAAAACCCAAGTTTTATGCCCTCAGAGAAAGGTATTGATGAGATGCCTTCAACCTGTACATGCTTTTGAACTGACAATAAAACCCCCTAAGAGCCTGGACTTAAAGTTAAGAGAAAGCTTCAAATCCTCACATTTAACAAGCCATTTGTTTTTATTGTTAATCAATTAAGTGGCTTTCAGCTCAAAACCAATTTTAGTCATTTTAATTTTAAACTTGAGTACAAGCCTGTAATCGTCATTTCCCTTGAAGTGTATTTGATGGACTTTTTTTAACATTACAATATAGAATTAAGCCTAATGTAATATCCATCAAATAAAATAGTTTGTTATGTATCTGATAAAGACTTGTATGGGTTCTGATCTTTGTTATATTTCTGAACAAGGCCAAAGCGTTTAGTTTGGGGGATGGTGACAGATGCTGACTGCTTGGGTAGCTCCAAATCTAATGCGTTGTGTCATGATCAACCGTTGAAATGCACTCTTGTGTTTCCTTCAAACACGGAGCACAGGCTCTGCAGCCGCAGAATGAGCTCCATTTAGCGTTTGACAGCCAAATAAAAGCAACGTTGACTGTATTTGCATAAACTAGAGTTCACTGCAGGTGAAAAATTAAGACGATACCAGCCCTCTGGTGCTTTCCTCCCCCCCTCCCTGACTGCAGAGCACTTTCTGAAAAGGATCCTGATAAACACGAAGTGGGCCAGGGTGTAAAGAAAGGTGCCACAACAGTCCCCCCTGCTGGGATTCAGCAGGAGTACTTCATAAACTGCATCCTCATATTCAAAAACTCGCTTTTTAATATTGTTTCGCCACCTTTTTTGACCCGTAGGATTACAATACGAGTGGAGAATATTGCCGTCAGTGTTACTTAGGTTTAAAGGCTGAATTAAGCTGGGATATTAAGCGGCAGGCGAGGTTAGTTTGGGATAAGGTATCATCTTTTCCAAACGAGGGCAGTCTCCCTCCATCCCTCTTCAGCATCCTTTTTTGCTGCAGTCACTAAGCTGGGAGTCCATAACCGCCTGCCTGTCGTCTCTGTGGGGCCTATACAAAGTAAGATATTTGGTAATATATGATAATGACAGGTGTACGTTTGAGTAACAGAAAGAGGCGAAGTGTCTGCCCCGCTTTCAGTTACTTTAGCTAGGCTAGCTTAGAGTTTTAGCTAACGTTAGCACGGACGGTACATCAGCGCTGATTTTCTGCTCGTAAAGCCGCAAACAGTGTATCATTTTCAGCTCACCCCTGTCTCCAACTGTCCTTCTAGATGCCCAGCGTCACGGTGAAAGATGTCAACCAGCAAGAGTTTGTCAAAGCACTGTCAGCTTTCCTCAAAAAGTAAGTAATGCACCACAACCTGCCTCTGCGCTTATCTGATGACGGGCTGATGTCCACCTGTCAATCAAGCGGGATGATGGGGTATTTGTGAAGGCTGGGCAGAGGCTCAGACAGCTGCAATACGCGGTGAATCACAGGGAAAGGACAGTTTATTAATGCAGACACCGAACTGAGGGCCACCTAAGATTATACTTTTTTTATTTATTTATTTATTTATTTATTTATTTATTTATTTTAATTTAAGGACGGGCGATAGAGGGAAGAGAGGAGGAAAACAGAATAAACACTTGAAAATTAAACTTCAGAGATTAAAATTGTAAATTTGAAGAAGAAATGCTTCGAAGGAAAAAAAAAAAGCTAAAAAACAAACAAACAAAAAAACAAACAAAAAAACAACAACCCAAAACTATGCGTCCTAGAAAAGAAAAATTCAATTTGAGAGATGAAGTTAATCGGAGAGTGTAAATTTGTGAGTGTTTAGCTAATTTTACGTCAAAGTAGCGCAAATTAGAATAAACTGGCAGATTTATGAGGGATAAAAAAGGTAAATGCAGAAGAAGAATTGACACTTTTTTGTGGAAAAAAACTGGCACATATTGGGTGGGATTGTGAAAAGAAATGATTAAAACTGTAGATTTGAGAGGGAAAGCTGCTAAATTTACTATATTGAACTATATTCCATTTTTTTTAATTGAATTTGTGTCAGACCTTATTTATTTATAAATCAAATTTATAATTTTTTTTAAAAAGCTACAAGTCTTCCTAACATGCAATAATTTTACAAGTTTTGTTTTTCAGCGATTACATTAATCTTGAAGACTTCCTAGAGAGACCCATGCAAAGTAATAAGAGATTGGCATACCGAGGAGACAAAGAATGGAAGAAACTCAGGAAGAAAAGCAGACCACAAATACAGGAGTGTATTTTCACAGAGGGCTAATTTCAAACAAGACACAGGTGGGAGCAGAGCTCAGGCACAGACAACTAAATAGAGGTGAAAACAATGAAGGAAAAAAACAAGAAAAACTGGAAGTAAAACCAAAATAATATACATGAGAGATCTAATTTGGTTACAATCAGAACCTGAAGTTTTGATTGCATAGTTTTCACAGCTAGGTTTCAGTAAAACACACACACAGATGATTTCTTAAAATGTATATGCATGCATAGACAATTATATTTGTATAACTTTAATAGTACTAAAGAAACAACCAGTCTCGTGGCCAGTTACGTCTTCTGTATTTAGATTAAAATTTTTGTAAAATGTAAGTCACTCAGGAAAATCCAGTTCATAGTTAAAAAGTGATTTAAAATAACTATTTTAAAGGGTCTCAGTCTCCGCAGAGTAAAAGAATGAAACACACATGGGCTCCAGAATGTAGTAAACCACAGTAGCAGCCATGATGACATGATGCTGTATTTCAGTGCGGCTTCTGACACATCACAGATGTTCTCTCTCTTGTGGTATGTGGCCATTCTCAGTTGAGTATTGCTGATTTTCTATGTATATCACTGCTGTCTTGTTCACACGTATAAACAGTTTCACATATGTTTCCCTTTCACTCACCACCGTGTGTGTGTCAGTGTTTATTGTGTGGTTTTTACTGGCCGATAAATCACATTTACAACCAGTGAACCTTCAGAGTACAGCCCGACTGACGGCTGATATTAACTGTTTGCCGATATATTGGCTACAGTTGCAATAGCCGATAAATTAAAGTGAAAATGTGAAGAAGAGAGGGGCGAGATGCCCTTAAACACTGAGTGTTGATGTTGTATAGTATGTCTACAAAAGGGCGCTCTCTAACTTCCATGTTGGCAACACAAATGTGATAACCAGCTGATCCGAACTGAGTGGCAGTGAGTAATCTGTGACTTGCTGTGACAAGAAAACTAGATTAAACTGCATTTTCATATTAGCTTAGTAATTTGAATATATATAACAAATATAATAATTTTCTTTATGTTTTGTGTGTCTGAAAGAAAAACTATTGGCTGATGTATCAGGTTCTTAGTTTTTTTTTAACTATGCTAAATATTGGTATCAGTATCAGTCTTAAAAATCCTATATAGGTCAGCCTGTACTCCAGAGGGAGCTCAGACTCATGCAACAACAATAATACACCCCCTGAATGCTGAAAAAAGAAAGCAAAATTCCAGCTTTTATTTTTTGTGTTTTATTTTACAATAGATACCCCACTGGTCTTTCTGCACATCTGCTGTACCTCTACTGCCATATTTTTGCCTGCATGGGATTAATAGAGGCTGTATTTTCATATTTCTCATGATGGAAATTTCTAACTTAGAACTACTTTAAATATGTACACTGTTAGTGCACTTAAGTGGAAACATCCTACAAAGAGCAATAAAATATGAAGTTCTTACTTTGACTCTCATCCAAATCGTAATCAAAGCTTTTTATGACCAAAAAAATCTGCCTTACTCTACACGATGAAGTCTTTACCTTTATTATCATATATATGAGTTGGAAAAGCAAACAATTTAATATGTATCACGCTGTTTTTATTCATCACATCACCTACTAATTGATTTTTCAGGTCTGGCAAACTGAAGGTCCCAGAGTGGGTTGATACCGTGAAGCTTGCCAGGCACAAGGAGCTTGCCCCCTGTGACGACAACTGGTTTTACACCAGAGCAGGTTGGTTTTCGTTTCCACGTGCAGCTGGAGTGACAAATAATCATAAAAAGTAAATGAAAGTCATGAACATGTCAGGCTCAGTCCTCTCTAGTGTGTGGATGTGCAGTTTCTCTCTGTCTCAAGCTGTTTTAATTATTGTTCAGACAAAATAAACAATTACACACCGAACAATTACCCAAACAGAGTTGATTACAGTCAACATGAAAAGCAATCATTAGCTGAATTGACTCAGTGAACTGAAATGTTTAACCAGAAGATATATTTTATTTGATAAAGTTTGGGTTCTGGAAATCTCATCTTAAGATGGAAAAACAATTCGGTCTTGGAGTTATTTGTACCTTTTTTACACAAACAGCTGAGTAACACAGGCAGGCCTTTCACTGTGGCTACCATGAACCTAGGTGCAGTACAGTCAAATCTGTTCTTTGTTTCTGAGCCCCTGATTTAGGGAACATTGTCTTAATTATGTCATTTTATTAATTCATGATTTCTTTTGAGTTTTGATTTATGTTGTTTGGTCTTCTGTTTATAATGTTTTATGTTCCCTGGTCCATTGGAATCTCTTTGTCATTTTTGCCCTTAGTTATTTGCTTTGATGGTAATAAGTTTGTTACTTCCTTTTGTGATCCTTCTCTGTTTGCCAGTCTTGTCTCTGTGGTCATTTTCTGTGTAGTTCATTTCCTGTTTTATGTTTGTGGTCTTTTGTCCCTGATGGTTTCTATTTAGTGCAACATCTTTTGTCCCATTATCCCTGATTTGTGTTGTGTTTTCCTTCTCAGCTGTGTATTGGATTGCCTGGAGTTATGCTTTGCTTTGGATTACTTTCAGACTTTATTATGCTTATATTTAAGGGCTCTACTTTATGCTTTACTCCTGTGTCCCATGTCTGGGTCTGCAATCCTGACACTTTCTCCTGTTTGTTAACTTAGTTTTCCATTATTGAGATAGTAGCATGCTGCACATTGTGCTTCTGCCTGGAATAAAAATTTGTTATATGAATAAAGCATATTCGCTAAATCCAATAGAAACGCATGCACTGCACACTGTTCCTTTACCTGTGGATGTCCTGTACTGACTTATATTAGCTCTAAAATATGTTGACTTCTTGTATTTTGAATGATAAAATAAGTTCATACTGAAACATACTGCACTGTATATGATACGTGCCACCAGCATCCACGGCCCGCCACCTGTACCTGCGAGGAGGGGCCGGCGTGGGCTCCATGATCAAAATCTACGGTGGCCGCCAGAGGAACGGCGTATGCCCCGCCCACTTCAGCGTAGGATCCAGGAACGTGGCGAGGAAGGTCCTGCAAGCTCTGGAGGGCCTCAAGATGGTGGAGAAGGATCCCAATGGGTGAGAAGGGTGAATGCTGAGACGATGTGATTCTGAGGTGGTGACTTCACAACAACTGTTATTTTTAAATGTTTTAAAATATTTGTGCTTACAGCGGTCGTAGACTGACCTCTCAGGGTCAGAGAGACCTGGATAGGATCGCTGGGCAGGTGAGTTGTTAGACTTGCAGTACATGCATATGTGGATTTATCTGTGCATAAAAATGTTATTGTTTCATTCTCTGTAATGTGCATATTATTCCTGCAGTTAGTTAAAGACTGTAATTGAGAGGGGTTAATCAGAATTTGTATAATTTTTATGGTGTAGAGGATAAAAATAATACTTTTTTGTAGCAGAACTATAGTGACAGTGAGCAGGGGATCATATCTAATTGTCATAATGTTGTTAAATAACTCTTTACAGTGGACCCATTATGGTCTTTGAGGTCCATGTATGTAAAAGTAATTCCTTTGAGCCAAACGCTCAGGCTTAGAGTTTCAGTCTTTTTCTAGTCTTGGATCTGTACGATATCACAGAGTAGGGAATTCCCTAATGTGGTCATCTCAGACACGCAGCAGCCCCACCCACCTACTGCTCAAGCCTTTTGTTTATGAAGAAATCAATTGGATAAAAGCTGGTTCAAAGGCTGTGTCTCAGACCCAGTTGTTTTTTATTCAGTATGAGATGCTACTCTTAAAAGGTAAGAATAAATGGAAGCTCATTACATTTATTTTTTGCTGTCATAGTAAAAAGAAAGCACAGCATCTGTTAATTCTAAGGTCTAGTTTGTTCAGATGTAGCTTTGCAAACCTGAGCTGTGCTGGTATGTGTTTAGTGTTTTTCTAATTGTAGTGTTCAGTGGTTTACACATTCAGCTAACAAGCGAAATATCCCCAGTTCAAGACCAGCAGAAGACACAAATCCCTAGGAGGGTGGCGTCAGGAAGGACAAAAATCTGTGCCAAATCAAATATGTGGCTTCATCCTCTGTGGTGATCCCTTGTGAATATGCAGCCGAAAGAAGGTCTCTGCTGTCGGGAACTTTAACACTTAACGCGCTAACTGAGAGTTTATCCAAGCTTTGTACGGATGACCTTGCGGTGAATTTGTTGGGTTTTCCACAGCTGCCATGAATGTTTTCCACTTGTGAATAATCTTTCTCACTGCAAAATGGACTTGAGATTGTTTTGAAATGATCTCATAGCCCCTCGCAGATTGACGGGCAGCAAGAATTGCTTCTCCAAGGTGATGTCTTTCTTTCTTGGCATTGTGTTAATGCACCCGAACGCTCCAGAGCATCAGTATGGGAAGGGTTATGAGATTATTACCATACAATCTATCATCTCCTTTTATAGAGGTGTTCGTATTTGGATCATTTTAAGACCTGCTAAGGGCCAGATGATTTATTTTTCATGATCTCATTCGTAAAACTCTAGAACTGAAAGAGTGTGCGCTTCCTTTTTTTTTTTATCATGACTGTAGACACATTTGATACTTGCAGAGGGCTTCAAAGACATCAGAAATTAAATGTCATTATTGCTCAACCCTTTACAGCACCAGATGTGCAGCATACAGTTGAAGTGGCTCCCTCTAGTGTTGTGTCTCAGTTATGGCAACAATGTAAAACATATAATCATATGTGAGATATTTCTTGGGATCTCTAAATAAATACTGCATGCCTTGTGTGCAGAGTATAGCTTCTCAGTTTGTTACATCAGCACGACTGTCCTCTCTCCTCTCTTTTTATTGTCTTTTGTGTGCTCAGGTTGCCTCAGCAAACAAGAAACAGCGGAGTTTACAGAGCGCCATCTGAGGACGTTATATAAGAATCCTGAGAAAAGGAATGCAGTTATGCCTTACCGCTTATTTACTCAAGTTCACCCTCCTCCCACATCAACCCAGTGCCGACAGTAACCGAGCACAAAGAGGCACTTCATAGAGATGCATGTGTCTAAAATACAGCGAGTGCAAATATCATACATGAATGTTTTGCAGCAGTCAGAGGTTGGCGGTGGCCTTGTAACATTAAGGCACAGAGTGGAAACAAAAGCACTCCGAATGCAGTGTTACAAAGCAAAAGCATGTTCGTATTTTTGCCTACAAATGTCAAGCAATGGAGAGAAAAAGAAATGTGAGAGCAGATGTAGAAAGGAAAGAAATGCAAAGAATTCTCATGCACATTTTTATTCATTTTCTAACTTTGTGTTTGCAGAATGGTATTACTGAGCACATATACGTTATACAGGATGCTCTGAATAAAATGAGTATGAGCACTGACTGAATGTCAGTTTTTATATGGGCCTGTGAGTGACTCTTGCTCAGTTTAGTTGCTGCTCATGACGCTGCTGATCCAGCTGATGTAGTAATTGAGTAATTAGGACCCTACACCGCCGGGCAGAACATGTTCCCTCTAAGCCTGAAGGGAAAAAGAAGGAACACACACATGTAAAGGAAGCACTCAAAACGTGCGGTTATCCTAAATGGGCGTTCTTAAAGTCAGCAAAGAGGCACAGAAAAGAAGACCAGACAGCAGCGAGGGAGGATAAGAAGGACAGACGCAACAACATTGTCATCCCCTATGTAGCCGGTGTATCAGAAAAAGTTTTCTCCAAGCATGACAGACCCAGCAACACGCTCAGACAGAAACTGGTTCACCCGAAAGACAAAACTCCAAAACACAGACTTAACAATGTGGTGTATGCTGTACAGTGCAGCGAGGAATGCCCAGACCTCTACATCGGAGAGACCAAACAGCCACTTCACAAGCGCATGGCACAACACAGAAGAGCCACCTCCACAGGACAAGACTCAGCAGTCCATCTGCATCTTAAGGACAAAGGACACTCTTTCGAGGATGCCAATGTTCACATTTTGTACAGAGAGGACAGATGGTTTGAAAGAGGAGTGAAAGAAGCCATCTATGTCCACTGTGAGCGACCATCTTTGAACAGAGGCGGTGGTTTACGACTCCAACTGTCTGCCATCTATAATCCAGTTTTGAGATCCCTCCCCAGACGCCTTAACGCCCACTCACATCCTGGGCCATCTGACCTCAGGAATTCGCATGATAAGGTGGGGCCAGGTTTCACAATGAGCTCACCCGAAACTCTGGCTGATTGGGACCCACACCCAGTTTCACACCTTGGCTCAGACGATTAGAGGATCATCAGGAGGTCCTTTTGTCCCTCTGTGATACTCTCACTAAGTTTAAATCTGGGACTCTCCACCATTTGACCTTAGAACTGAAGAAGCTTCTCAGATGAGAGGTGAAACGTCTTCAAGCAACTTAAAGAAGTCCAGACGCTTTTCTTTGCAAGCTCCTTTGACTACGATGACTGAGAACCTTCATAGACATACATATTCAGTAAACTTGAATATTCATTTCATTTGTACAGAAGGCTGGTCAGCAAGGCTTTCTTCTTCATCATCTTCAGGGTTTGCACCAGTGTACTGCAAGCCCTGCCAGACCTGAACACCAGGCTAAGACCCGTACATTCTGTAGATATAGGCTTTAATGTATCTTATTGGCATACTTTCACCTATTTTATGAAAGGTTTAATCTATAAAAGCCATAACATCCAGATTAACAGGCTGATGATCAAATTAGGTAGCTTAAGACAAGCATTTTACTCCAAATACTTTGGCCCAGAGATCCAAACAATGAATCTCAAACAGAATAACAGCACTGTATGAGATAAGTGACAATTAGAAGCACAATAACACAACAATTCAAAGAATTTGAATTGTAAAAAACAAAACAGGATATGTTCCATGTACTAACAGAAACTTCCCCTTTTTCTATAATGTTATACATTTATTACAATTTAAATCATGCTGACACATTTTTCTCATTTACTACAGCAGCATTTCTTTACCACGTCAAAAACTAAGAAAAGCTGTTACAAATGGCCTTCTTTTTCTTTTTTCTAAATATGTAGTTGAACTTCTTTAGTTTCACTGGTGCTGCCAGCTCAGGATCAAAATGGGCTGTAACGTGACTCTCCATGTAAAATGAGTGCATCATACCTGCTCTAACACAACACAAATGGCTGAAAAAAGCGAGTGAAATATGAGTTATGGAGCAACTGGCTCATAAGATAAGGTTTTATGAGGACTGGGTTCGAGAGGAATAGAAGCAACATGTCAATGACAGGGTGAGGTCACAGGAACACATGGTAAACAAACCAGTATATGATGTAAATGTGCAGAGCGGCTGAAAATAGCAGCACTGCGAGCACATAATTCTCACAGTGAATTGGCTAAAAACACTCAAGATCTATCCAAACTGAACCAAGGACACATGAATCACTTGATTTTATCTGTAAATGTGTATTTAAAAAGTATAAGGACTAGTAGATGCCCTGTCTGAGCTGAGCAAGACAACACCTGTAACATTTCTCTTCAAAGCATCACAGCATGAAGTTGTTAAACGTGGGATCAGGTAAGTTAGTTATGGATAAAAGATTCTTCTGAATGTAACTGATGACATCTTTTCTGGAAAAAAAACATTCTTGACATGCAATGAGTAAATTAAATCCCAAACAAACCACGATGATGGCAGATGTCATAATGTTACCCATGTGATTGTGATGAAACCACCATGCTGACAGATATTTGCTACATTTGGTCACTTGTCCTTATGATGTCTTTGTTTGAGTGCTATATTTCTGTAATTAAAAATCCTCTTCAGTCTCTACAATCAGGAATAACAGAAAAAGGCAATCAATTGGTCCTTTTGTACCAAGGTGGCTCCTGATAACAGGCAAGCACCCTCACCTCTCATCCCTGCAAGCCTCTCTCATCTCTTTCCCTCTGAACTGTAGCGGAAGTGAGGTATAAAATATCACAGAGTACTTAAGTAAATGTACTTAGTTACATTCTAAGACACTTTGACTAGGTTTTCTCTCCAACAATACTGCTGGATCTCCCTCTTACAGTCAATATTAGAGTGAGAGCATCTTTCTGATGCTCAATTAGATGCCATTAGAGTGTAAACCTGCACCAGTGAAGTTTAATAAGAAGTGCACTCAGTCTCAGATTTCATGCACATACTTGTGTACCACCTCAGTCCCTTTGTGTGCACTGGGCTTTAACTCACTGGGCATTTACTGGTGTCTCCATGCACGGATCCAGCGCAGACCAGTGATCTCGGGGACGGTAGTGATAAGGTTCCTGCAGATTGCGTCATCAACGATGGGCTGCCACAGGCACTGAAGATTGCTGGGGTAGTAGAAAACTGGTTGAAAATCGGGTGATGTAATGTTAATTTTGCACATATCTCCTGCCTCCACAAGAATGCATTAGGAGACACGATAATCCCACATCAAAGCACAAGCATTTCTTTAACTCTAACTAGCAATGACTAATTTTAATCATTAGACAAAAAAGCTGTTTATATCCATCTCACAGACATGTCATTATGTACTTTTAAAACTATTGATATTTATTTAGACTCTTTCTCTCCGATTGATCTCTCCTTCTTTAAATGAGCCAGGCATAACATTATGGTAGACCGTGTGTCGAGGTTCTCAAGACAACATCACACACTAACCTGTATTCAGAGGCTCAATTCATTCATGCACTTTTCAACTCTTTTAATTCAAATAAAATGTACAATTATTGTTCTTTTCTTGCCTGTCACTGGGCAAGAGATGGGGTACATCCTGGACAGGAGAGACAGACAACCAATCACACACAGTCACACCTACGGCTAATGTAGAATCACCAATTAACTTAACATAATATGCAGTATTGTGCAAAACTCTTGAGCCACCCCTCATTTCTTTATATTGTGTTAGAAAAATGGGAAATAGGCATAGTGATTTATTGAAACATGCAAACGTACATGATAGTTCAGTATATAAGGCAAGCTTGAAAGTAAATATTTGGTGTGACCAACTTTATTCTTCAACAGTGTGAACGCTTTTAGGCAGCTCTCTTGTGTTTTCTTTAAAGTCTTCAGGAATTGTTCTCCAGGCTTCTTGAAGGACACTCAGGGTGTTGGCTAACTTTTGTTCTGTTCTCCATCAAGATGATATCACACTGCTGTGGTTCTGGAGAGGCCAATCCATGACTTCTGGGAGTGTTCCCTTGTGTGTCTTTCTCATTATCGTGCTGAAAAATGAGGCCTTTTGTCAGTCAGATGCTTTCCAGATCCTATTTTATGGTGGATATGGTTCAAGACTTTTGCACTGAAGTGAATGTGCCTAAGCAGTTAGGCAAATGGACAGATAGAGACCACGCCCCCTTTTTCCAGTAATGCAAAAAGCTGGTTCCAGCTTTGAATGATAATTTATATAATAATAATAATCAGTTTTATAAGTTCATAACCTTCTGGCATGTTTCTACAAGATCAATCCAGTCTGATAGATAATCAGTTTTTTTTCCACAGGTCTGATTTTTTTCTACTTTTAATCAAACATCTTCAGCTGTGTGATTTTTCCTGTATATTTCACTGTGAATGCCTTCAGGTTCTGTTTGTGCGTTAAGAAAATCAGCAGCAGGAAAGCAAACTTTGAACAAATTTTATTGAACATAAATTAAAAAAAAATTGGAGGTAAAAAAATATTCAACAGGCTTAGAAATTCTTTACAACTATGTACAGGACAGGATCCATGTGAGCTGATACAGTAACAAAGATTTGTGTCAAATTCAGTCATGAATCCTACAAAACAAAAAGTCCACAGCAGTCAGCCTAAAGTCCCAGATCCTTGTGTACATCCAGTAGCGGAGGCACAATTACACAATGGAGTTTCCTAACAAAAAAAAATTTTAAAAAGAGGAAGAAAGAAAAAGCACAAAAAAGGTGACCACCTACTCTAAGTGTCCAACAGCAGTGATGTTACCTGTTTCTTAATATCGAAATTCAATAATTAGAAAGCTTAAAGAGCAAGAAAGCAGTTTTTCCATTGTGTGTTGTGTAATTAAATTAAATCTCACTTCTTTCTTTGAGGTAGAACACCTGAGGGAGATTTGTGTGGGGGGGCACAAAACAATGATTAACCAGACAACAATTGAAGGGAATAAGCTTCACTGTTGCTCAGCCTACAAAGAGAAGGTTAAAAGCTCAAACACATTTACTTCCATTAGTCTGATGACCATACATTTATTGTTCAAATGTACAAAAAGAGCTGTAAGGGACCGTGCCGGGGAAAGATCACCGTT